ATGTGGTTAAAAACGTTGTATTGTCTTTGTGTTTTTTGTTTTTTTACATCACAGTCAGAACAGGATGGACTATGAAAAGCGCGTACGGGCACAGGCCAAGAAGTTTGCCCCGACATAGAGAGAAGAGCGGGCCTTCACACCCCCCCCCACCCCACCCCACCCAGCCCCCCCACCCCCCGCCTGGGCAGCCTGAACTGATGATAGAGGTGACAATAAGGAGGCAGTGCACTCGAAGGACCACTCCAATAAGAATCAAGTTTAGGTATTATTATTATAATTATACAGTCAGGCGAAAAAGTGAGCCTGTTTTTTTTTACTTCTCTTTCTTTTTGTTTCCAACAAAGAAACGTTCATGATTTAACATGTCTTCAATGAACACTTTGATGATCAACATGATGGTTAACATGACCATTGCTTTAAGTAATCTTGTGTAATCCAGTATTTTCATCATGGGCCATGTCTATATTACTACTTTAAGTTATGATAATGTAGAAACAGAGCTGTAGGGATAAGATGTCATGTCCAGAATGCTTTCTCTTTCAAGTTCAGTACGTTTTAGCAGAAGTAGAGATTTCACTTTTTAATTCACTTAGTTTTCATAAATCCATGAAATCCCCATGAGTATTATAAACAGTGTTTCATGTCTGTGGAGGACAAAGCAGTAAGACAATAAATGGAAGTACATCCTTGCATTGTTGTTCCCCTTGATACCTTTGTTTGATATCTGAGTTTACAGAAAAGCATCAAAAGAGTACAGAGAAGAAAGCAGAGCCGGGTAGAAAGACCACACTGGCTCTTATCTGCATTATCACAGATAGAGGTAGGAAGCTCCGCCCCCTCAGAGTAGGGAGGGGTCGCAGGTTAGTGTGAAGATTTTTCTCCGTGAATTCAAACTATATGTCAGTTAAAGAGATGAGGGGAATGCAGATTTAACACCAGCATCATCATCATCATCTGCTTCACGTCGTATAGAGTGAAGGAGAAGTGTAGAGGAAAAAATGTTGCTGTGTTTTCTATCGGCTCTGAATAGGTTATGAATATATCGTTAAAAGAAAACAAAACATCCGTTTCAATCATTTCTCCCACATTACTTTAAAATAATTAAACGCAGACCTGAAAAAAATGAAATGTCTGTTGCAATCGGGCGAGCAGAAGCTGAAGGATCTTTATTGGAATGGCCTCTCAACCAGCAGATGGAGGCAGACGAAAAAGTGCACTTGACAAGTAAAGCAAAAGGCCTGAAATTGTTTTGCCTCTGAAGAAATGAGTGCATGTACATAATATAAATAAAGACAAATTGTGGAAGTTATGTTTTATATTGTTTTAGCCAGTTGACATTTGTGTGTGGTATTATAACAAAAAAAAAACATTAAATGGCATTCAATTGTGAAATAAAGTTGAATAAAAGGTGAGAAAAAAATGCGTTTTGTTATGATTTTATTGTCGTAGTCATAATAAAATGTCACGACTTAAGCCTGTTGAAGGAGGAGAGGTATAACTTCTGAACGTAAATCTAACACTGGTTCATATTTAGGGGGAGAGGAGTAGACACAATATATTCTGAGTGAAGAAAGTCCAACATAAACTAAATTTCAAATTTCTCACAATGACTACATAGCCATTTTATTAATTTTCTTTAATTTTGTATCTGTATACAAGTAAGTATGAAGCATAATGATGCCTCTACAGTGATTGTAGTGCAGGCTTATTTGATGTAACTCCAATTAAAATACATAAACAGTAACCCATACAGAACAATCAAAGATACAAATCATACAATAAAACCTTAAAGAACTGTTCTTAAATGACTGAGACACTGTACATTAGTCAACTTAAAGGTCATATTTATTATATTATTGTTATTGTTACTTGTTGTTGATAAGGGTTTGATTCATATTTTGAGCTTGTGTGCAAACCACTTCTGAATATATATATATTTTTTTTTTTACTTACTGCAATTGCACTTTATAACGACTCCCCTTTAAGTAAGGACAGAAGACATTTAAACTTTTAAACTTAAACCTGAGCTGCATATATAATTTGCTGCTTTTATAATAATTCTTTATTTATCTATCATACTATGCACTGGCAGAGCTAGTATTTTGTACTGTTATCTATGAGTAACAGCTACTTATGCACATGGACCATCCATACCACTTTTTTTTATCCTGGCTATGTATTGTGGGCTCATGTTTTTTGTATGGGTGGGATATGTATGTATATATGTGTTGTGTGTTTGTATGTATGCTGGCTGCTGGAACACATACATTTCCCTGCTGGGATGAATAAAGTATATCTTATCTCATCTTATCTTATCTTATTATAAACTCACCTTACATACATGTACTGTGATGGAAGTTTTGTCCTCAACGTATGATTTGAGGTATGCCATGTTTGGGAAAGTCTACTCTGCAATAAGAGAAAATTAGTGAGAAAGATAAACCTGCAGCACATCACCCAACAAATCTTTCTGCTATCGATTGTTTGCTTGAAATCTATCATAACATATTTAAACATATGAAACTTTATAGTATGAGTAAGGAGTATTTTACACAATAGGGTGTTAACTGATGTACTTTTAAATGTCACATATTACGTTTTTTTTTTCTTCTTTAGGCTGTCCAGAGCTGATATAATGTTCTCAGGGGTCTTGCATGACATTCTTCAGAAATGTAACACTTTTTATTTTGGCTTCTGCGGTTGTTTTTTTTTTTTTCAACATGACCTCGATTGGGCAAAACAACACCAAAAAAAGTAACATGCATTCTTTTTCCTTTTTTTTTGCTTGTTCGTGTTAACATGGTGTTGTTGTGGTTTTGTTTTTCTGAACATGTTGTGCTGGAGGTGAGTTCAGTAAAAGCCTGTCAGGTGATGCCCCTGTCGCTGCCTCTGCATCCTGGGTCAGTCTGTTCAGGTCTGCAGAGCGATCACAGCTCGGGTCAATGTCTGCCATAACTTTCCAGGTGTGTATCAATGTTTAGTTTATTTAAACTCCTTAGATTCTGCAGCAGCTAACTCCTCGATTGCACACTTTACGTTATTGGTTGTTTTTATTGCAATACAAGGTGCAGGGAAAGATCAGGACTTTGCAGGCTCCAATTTGCACACTCTCCATCATAACATTAGGAGTGTAACTTGAAAAAATAGCAGAACGTTTGAATTCACATCATTCATTTCACATAGCTAAAATAAAATTATATTAAAGAGAAAAAGAGGCTGAGAGGGCAGTTCTAGGGGTTGTGTGCCAGTTTAAAGCAGGAGAGTTTCAAAAAGTCCTCTTTCCCCTTCAAGTCATTGATGCGAAAAATCAATACTGTTGAAGGGGTGGGGAGCTCAAGCATTTTTCTAATGCTAAAAATAAACCCTCTTTTTTTTATATCAGCTGCGATGTTGTCATATACACCACTACGCACTACACTGTGTCACACAAAATGACTCCCATTCCCTCTACTTACATGTTGTAGGTTGTTCATTTAAGGAATCAGGGTTAATAATGTTTACATCATGCGACTGGTGAGCGACCGGTCTGATATTCATGCACGTAGGGAAGCTGCATTAATGCCTTGTCCTTTTTAAGCATGTCTTGCCTCCTCAGACCATAAGGTCCATATGTGAACAGGCAACTCAGAAAGATTCAGAGGCAGCCTGTCCTGAGATTTTAAGTGCATGTGTGAAAAGCACAATAACAATTGCCAACATAGCTGTAAATTAGTAGTCTTTTTATAGAATGTCTTTAATTTAATTAAATCATTCTTCCATAGTACATCCTTTAAACTACTGAACACAGTTTGTAGGTTATTTTTTAGCATGGACATCCCTCACCAGAGATTCCTACATCAGACACCCTCTGACTGCCTGGCGCACCGACCAAAATCTCTGGTACGGGCACAAAACAGGTATCATGTCCTCTTGTTCCTGTCTCTCTCTACTCATCATTGTTGTTCTATTATTTTTCTTTTTTTTATAGGTTATTTCTCACCGTTTATATAATGTGTTTTGTGGTTCATCTGCAGCTCAGTCGACTGAGAGAAACTTCATGAACCAGAAGCTCAGCAAGAGGCTGACAAAAATTGAGCAAAAGGACACTGCAAAGTGAGGAGTTGCTTCCTACCTCGAGACCACAACCCACACATTGCCCTCAAACTTACACTTTGTCTTACAATTGAAACACAAAACACTAAGTGTCATCTGAAACCAAAAGTGTTTATAGTGTTAACACACTATAAACAATAAGGAAACAGGATGAGATGAAGTACCACTATAAAGATAGCTAAAATTATAAATATGTGTCTGCAATGCATCTCTGGTGTTGTTAAAACTAGACAGGGGTCATTTTAGTGGCACGTTTCAATAAAACCAGATTGTGTGTGTGCATATACTGTTTATAACCTAAATAGACCACTAAGACTCTGGAATCTCATATAAGGGATCAAATTAAATGATTTGTATCAACCAACAATATTTAATCCAATTATCAGTCAGGTTTTAGGGAAAAACATATTTTAACCACAGCTGCTTTAAAGGTATTCAGTGATTTTATGGGGTCCTTGGACAATAAGGAAAACTTTGCAACCCTTTAGTTGACTTTTTGAAGGCCTTTGATACTGTTGACCATATCATTATTTAATATAACCTAAACAGTGTTGAACTGTCAAAACTATCTGTCTGTTGGTTTAAAAAATATTTATCAAACAGATTCCAGTTTGTGCAGGCTGAAGGCATTACCTCTAGATCTCTGGATATAATGAATGGTGTGCCACAGGGCTCAGTCTTGGGACCACTATATCAACAATATCAGTTGTAATGAATGTATTGCTTCACTCTAACACAGTATCAGGCTCTCTGCCTTTTATGAGAGGCCTTTGATTCTTTACAGGACACCTCTCATGAGTTAAAATTGGTTTTTAATCCTGATAAAACAAAAGTCATGATCCCAGGGCTCTAACTCATCATTGTACTCTGTATGCTCAGTTGACTAGCCTGCATTGACTAATTGTAGACTAAATCACTGGCATGTCTTTATTTATTTTACAAATTGACACATATCAACTTAAATCATCTGAAAATAGTTGGTTTGATTAAACATAAAAATTATGTTCCCCTTTTTATCAAAACATATGTTTAGCGCTAAGTCTGCTAGTATGTTTATGGTTAACATGTCAGCCTGTTAAACAGCAACATGTCAGCCTTATCATTGAATTAGCATGTTAGCCTTTTGACATTACCTTTTCGCTGAAAGCACCACTGTGCAGTCCAGTTTTTTACTCTTTGAAATTCCCTTTTATCCAGTGACAGCAATCAATAAAATGCTTTGATAAAATAAAAAGATGTGGCTGCAGGTCTGTGAATATCTGGATACTTTACCAACACTGATGTTCTCATCAGTATTCAATTTGTGTTAAATATCTTTAAATGAAAAAACTTGGATGGTGAACATCACAAACATTAAACCTTCTGTAGCCCTCTAATATTTTTCGCCTGCTGACATTAGCTTTAGCAAAGAGCATCACTGTCCAACCACTAATAGCACCACAAAGGCTTGCATTGCTGTAGACTTAAAGTTTGCTGAGATGTAGGTTTTGCAGTTACTGATAATGTGCATGAAACATGTAGTGGCATGCTAGTACAGCCTTTTTTCACCACAGGATAGTCAGCTTTTCAACTTTTGCCCCTGATTAGAGCATTTAACTTCGTTACCTGTTTAAGTTCCCCACTACATGTGCCAACAAACTGTTAAATGTAAAGCAGATTCAGTGTCAGTTAGCTGACTTTCTATATCCTCTTCAGGCAAGAGTTAATGGCTGTTATTTAAAGAACTACAGCTTTTGTCAGTATGAGTGTGCCCTCACTTGTTATTGTTCTCACCTCCTCCCCACTGAGCACACTCCTGTCTTTGCGGTCTGTAAATGGTGACAGTTTACTCAAACAAACTCCACTATGGTCTTCACTGCAGCTCCCCACCTCAGGCGGACTTTGACCTTTCAAAAAAAAAGAAACATACACTCTCCTCCTTCCTCTACATCCTCTGCACTCTTCAGCTCTTGCCCCCTGTCATCACTGCTGGCTGATGCTGACACCTAAGTAACTGCAGGAACTGGGGGGGGGGGGGGGGTGCGTCAGACAGATCACCGTCTGGCCTAGTGCAGATCTGAACCCACTCTGGAGCCTAAGCCAGGCGGCTGCTGACTGTTGACTTCATGCATATTGTGTTGCAACAGTTGTCTTCTTTTATGTGTGAATGCTTTGTGTAGTGTGGATGAGTGTTGCACAATGGCCCTTCATTGACCTTTAACACTGAGATGAACAATCCAAGATAAAAGTACGTTCTCAAAATCTTACATAGACCTCAACTCTTCTCTCTGCTGCACTCATAATCTAAAAGTTTGAGAGTAAAATCAACTTTGGCAAAGAAAAAAATATCTGAATACACATTTTTATCTTTTTCATTACCACTTTTTTCACTTACCATCACTCAGTGTTCATATCGAGTTTTATTCACATTTGTATTCATATTTCATATTCTGTACATCATGGAGGCCATGGCATGATTATCAAAACCATATATTTGATGATTAATTATTGCCAATTATTTGGGTAGGAGGGGTTTATCTATACATTTGTTTGGTTTTTTTTTAAAGGAAAGATCTTGCAAAACACAAAATTACTTTGTTTTTGGACCCTCCTCTTACCTTGAACAAAATAAATCAAATGCAGCCCCAAATGCAGACAATGTGATGCTGGGATTTGGTTTTATGTACAAGTAATAGAATCCAGTATGTTATGGTTAAATATGTAATTTATTTGAAAGTCCCTTATTACCCCTTAAATCAAACTAAAGATACATTTCAAACACAGTATGTTGAAGCAACATCAGTCACAAACTATTATTTCTTGCAGTTCCTGGCAGCCCTACAGTTTTTTTATTCACCCTCTTGTGTGGTCACTCTCTTATTTTCTCTTCCAGTGCCAACATGGAGACCTCTACTCGAGCCGTCTGCCTTTAGGGCTTTTTGCGACGAACCCTGCCACACGCATGACGCAGATTAGACCTGCTACACCCAGCTTGAATTGTATAAAACAAAGTGTTCTGTCATGGAAGGTGGCTGTCAACCGTTGAGTCTGGGTCTGCTCAAGGTTTTTGCCTGTTTTAAAAGGAAGTTTGTAACCATGGCTGTCCAGACTGGTGTCCATTATGAAGTCCAGTTCTTCTTGTCTGTTTCTTGTCACTTTTGCTAAGTGCTAAGAGTACGTCTTAGACCTGCTTTACAACTTTGTTTGTGAAGACCGTTATAAATACATAACCCAAATTAAACTCTAGTGGTGAAATTATAATTGTCAAAAACAAATGTAAATGAATGAGCAGGTTATTCAAGAAACTACTGTGATGTAATTAATCAGCTTTTTTTTCCCCCCAGTAAAACAAATAGGACATAAAGTTGCAATATAGAGGAAGTAAAGATCATTTTGCACCTTTCCCTTAAATAATGCCAAAATGCATCTAAAAGTAAGTTATCATGAGATACCTTTTTACCTGATTATTTTTTAAACCCGGCTCCCCACTAATAGTTTTAAAACGTATCAGTCTCCACAGCCAAAAGGACTTGAAAACTTCTAGAAATGGCCAACTAACACGCAGAGGAAATCTTTTGAGGCCTGTGGCTACAGAAATGAGATGCTGCGTGACCTTTGAGTGACGAGCAGGCTGCAGGTTTAACTTTCAGCCTCATTTCCTTTATCTGTCTGTAGTATCACTTAGGTAGTACTTATTTGAGTGTCTGCAGTGGTTGCGGCAGTGACAGCAGCGGTTTTGTCTCTGTAAAACTCTTCCACGAGGTGTTCTTAAGGGCATCTTAAATAACTATATTGTGCTATATCTGGTAGCTTTAGCCTAATTTTCACTCTGAATCTTTAGTTTAAAATGAGCTCCATTGACGTAAACCACTTCATACGAAAAACCTGCCAGTTTTCTTTATACAACCACTTTGCGTTGTGATTGAAACCGGATGTGGTGTGCTTTGTATTTCTTGTTTTCACTGCAATTATCTTTAAAGCTGTGATGGTGGTGAGGTCCAGGTAGCTGTTTCTGGTGTTTTACAACTGAGAAGTCACCACCCCTTCCTCCCCCCCCTCCTCCTCCTCCTCCTCACTACGCAGGGTTCATCCTCTCTCACTATAGCTCACAGCTTAATGAGGCTTCCTGTTAGCCTCAGACGCAGCCTGTGGTTACAAGTGGAAAATGTCATTGGGCACTTAAAAAGAAGAGAGAGAGGGGGGGGGGGAGTGAGGAGACAGAGGGATGAGTGCAAGTGACAGAAAAAGAAAGAGAGAGGGAGAGAGAGCATGTAAGTTATGAGCGAGTACCGAGAAAGAGACAGAAGAAAAGGAAATCTAAAAAAAATGACAATGTGTGTCCTGTCTGGGACCCCCTGCTGCCTCTACTGACTAAACCCCGGGGGGTAATGTATTATTTTCAAATATAATATATTGTACATTTTATTATATATAATATATAATATATAATTTACCTGTATCCTAGTTCTAGCATCATTTTTTTACATAATCTCTTTGTACAACCTGTTGTTGTGAAGTTAGATTTGTATTATTTAAGTTAATATTAAAAAACAAGTGGCTTTGTTTGCACGGTAAAGCGCGTCACGATAACGATAGCAGCGATGCGTCATTATTTGATCTAAAGTCCTACACAGTTTGAGTCTTGAGCGGAAAAAACCATCAGCTTGACTCTGACTCAAACTGGTGACTAATGTTGCGACTTCTCCGTGAATTTCTGGGTGAAACAATCTGACGACTCTGATAAACTCTGACGTTTATTCACAACAAAGATTTTTATCTGTTTTTATTTTTTTAAGAGCAGAAACACATGTTACATGTTACCAAGAAAAATCATGCCATCTTCAATATTACTCAGCTAAAACTGTAAAACAAAGTTAGTATATTCTCTGTTCTGCACCAGCACAGGTGTTTACAGTCCAGTTTCACTTATAACGGCTCAGGTTGCAGCTGCTTCTCAGGTTCAATGTGGATCTAGTATTGTTTTGAGTTTCGTACCGAGGTAGAAAATTGTTTTGGCAACCAGTCACTGTGGAGGGAAAACCACCACTTTTTTCAAGTACTGTAAGAATAGTTTCGAGTCACAAAGATTTTTTAGAACATAAACACTGTACAGCCTTTATTATTCAAATGTCCACTCTCATATGTGGACTTCAGCTACTGAATATGTCATTGTAATTAACAACATAGATTCAGATTGGATTCTGATGTTCAGTATTGATCCTCTCCGTTAACAGTAATATTGTGGCCATGGCCTTGATGGAGCTCTTCTTGTCCTCTTTGGTCCTCGTGGTCCTGTTTCCAGTGCATGCAGTCCACTCTCATGCCAACGCCTCTCAAGGTAATGATTCATTGTATTCAGAGTTTTATTAACCCCTTTTTGTTTCATTCAGCTTTTTTAGTTTAGTCCTCTGGTGAAAAAAGAATTGAACTGAAGCTGCAGTGTCTCTTTTCTCCTCACAATCAAAGTGTTGCTGTAAGTTATGAGATTAGAGATTTATGGACATTTGGAAAATGTTGTTTTATTCCAAATTTAGATTCTAACACCTATTTGATGATAAAACCTTGCAGATACCAGTGCGGTAAAAAAAAAAAAAAAAACTACATGTTGTTTCTTAACCATTTGTAAAACTACAAACCATGTACTGATGTGGTAAGATTCTTGGTATGGCCTGGCTGAGAAGAACAAAGGAATCTTAACCTCATCACAAGCTGAGCTTACTTCGCCGGACTACAGCTCACAGCCCCTATGTCCTGTAGCCATAGTTAACAGTATGCACAATCTTTAGTAAAGTAAGTAAGAAAGTAAGAGCTTAAAGTAAGTATATAGTTCTGTAAAACAAAAGATGTAAAAAAAATCTTGAAAAGTACAAGTATTGATTCAACTCCTTTCCAGGGCCAGAATGTTTTCCTCCCTTTTAAGAGGGAAAACATGTTGAAGGATGTTTTGTCTCGGTGTTTCTATGCAATGCTAACTGTAACTCAGAGAATTTCAGTGAATTGCTGTGTTGGTCATGTAGAACTGTTTCACTGTCTCCCTGTTGGTCATGGACTTTGGATGTCTCTTTTCTGTTTTCTACCTTGTTTTTCTGTTTTCTCTTGAAACATTGTTAACTGTTACATGTTTTAGTCTGTTGTGAGTGAAGCCCAACATTAAACTGCCATAAGCCGACACTTGGTAAGATTTAGCAACATCCACAGGGAACACGTTTTTTAAACAGGCAGGATCTCCGAGCAGAACCAGAATCATTGGTGGACAGCTATAGCCTTCAAACGTGGGATTTTTGGGATAAATCTCGTTATTGCCGCTCAAATATGCACATTGATCAGTAGTTTATCTGAATGTCCCAAATAATGTCCAGTGACCCTATCTCTTTTTTTTGTCTGTTGTTTTGTCTCCATTGCTCAAGGACTATCCTGCGTAAACGACTTGGTCAACAATGTCAGCTGTACATGGCACGGCTCTCCACTGGCTGCTGGTGTGGACTGCTGGATCTCTGGTGTGAAGATAGTCAGGAATAGGGAACGCCTCGACAAACAGATGTAAGATGGCACAGATATTATCATCACCAGTGCTTGTAAAGTGATCATACATGATCATATATTCTCCCTTTTCTTGTAGAATTCATCAAATTAAAAAAAAGGCTGTTGTTTTGAGGTTTAAAGCTGACATGTGATGACCTCAGTTCTGTCTGGTGGTCAAATCTGCACCATTTAGTTATTATCAGTCCTTTTCCTTTTTAGGCGAAGATGCCACATGAAACAACATGGAAACTCTCCTCCAGGCTGCAGTTTTGTCTTTGAAAATGAAGTAAGTCACCAATATATATAAAATCATTAGAACTTGAAAAACAGTCTTGTTTCTAAGGTAAATGTCACAAATGTTTGCCCAAACCATTTCTGCACTGTTAAACTGCCTATTGTCTCCCTGCAGGAATTTAACTGTTTCAAACCCATGCCTTACATCCAAATGGAGTGTGATGATGCATTGGTGGAGAACCTCACAGACTATTATCCATGCGATCACAGTGAGTGGATTTTTAATTCCTCACTAAACTGTCAACTTTTTCACCATTTCTGAAAGTCTATCCACAAATTTGGTTAAACAAAAAGTGATAAAAAGTCAAACTCATTTCAAACTCAGGTTATATAATACTATACAACAGTTTGTTCTTACCAGGTAATCTGATTGTACAAGAGTCATTCCATGTGTGCTGATATTTAAGTCAAATTCATCTTAATTGCCAAGTTTTCATACTGGACATACAGAAAAATACAAAATAAATTGTTTCTGTACGAACGATGGTGCAAACTGTTAAAAAAATAATAATTTGCAAATAAGAATATATAGACTATAGAGATTTACATAAACTACAACTTTCCAATAACTTCACACGCAACACGCTGGTCTGCGCTAACAGTCCAGTTGAGGTTGAGATATTGCACTGAATATCAGCATGTGAACCTATTCCAAATCACAGCTGTGCCAAAATGTTCATATGATATGTATCAATTAACTGTATCGTGGATTTTAAAGCAGTGGTTCGGAGAAATAATAATTTTAACTTTTTTAAAGCATCAGAAATGACTTAATTGCACACTTTTCTTTCCCCCCTTGTCTATGTGTGTTGTGTTCCTGTATGATCGTGTGTAAATGGTGTGTGTGTTGGATTCAGTTCAAATGCATCCTCTAGGTGTTCTTAATGTAAGCAGATCCGCCAATGAGACCCTGATATCATGGAGCCTCGCCAGTCCTCACTCTATCTTCTTGACTTTGTTGGACTTTCAAGTTCAAATCAAACATAAACACCAGGCATGGAAGGTGAGTGTCTATGCACATAGATTCATTTTAAAATACATAACATATTTACTTTACTTATTATCATAACATGCTGTATTAACATGATGGTAAATAAGAGTGAATATAAACTCAACATAATTAATTTGTCAAATAACTTGAGTTTCCTGTTAATATACGCCCTCAACATTATCAGGAGGCCAGGACTTTTCCACACAAACACAAGAGATAAGAATACCTACTGGGCAACTAAAGGGGCACTGCCAGGCCAGGGGGAGAGTCAAACCCATTGACTTGTATAAAAGCCACTGGAGCAACTGGAGTCCAACGACGTCCTGGCTAGAAGCGACTGACAAGGAGACAACACCACACGATCGAGGTAAAAACAAGGTTTTATTTACAAAGGCCTGTACTATGAACCAAGTTCAACATACTGTAGTGGAAAAATACTATCTGTCTGTTGCCTTCGTTTGACCTTGAAAGATTAGGATGTTCGTGCGTCATTTAGCAATTAGAAACTGTTTCTCTGTATGGCCTTGGTCTGTATCTCCAAGAGGATCACTCCTCAGGATCTGGGTACAGCATGATCCTAAATCAGTTCCCTCTGAACAAAGGACTTTCTGTTGGTGTTCCTCCGTACCAGGTGCCTTATAGAAAGAAGCTTGCATACATAAATCACCAGGCAAACTAGCAGAAGGCGTAGTCACTAGGGCAAGCTGAAACCAATGACGATGTATCACTCGTATATGCAAAATACCTACACCCTGTGAAAGTATAAATATGCTCTGCAACCGGGACTGCCCCGGGACTCTTTGATGTACTTGTGACTGATGTTACTTTTGCAGCTGATTGCTCCTTTTGCAAAATAACTTTTTACTATATGCAATAAAATACACAAAGACAAAAGACTTTGACTTGAGATCTTTCATTACCAACAGAAAAATCCACAACAATACTCAAGCTATCTTTTGGACATCTCGCTTCAATAACCCTTAAAAGGTGATTGTGCTGAGGGGTCATACAAAGCTGGTTCTCAACTTGATAAATCAACCCAGAGTTTCATGAGCTATCACAAACTTAAACAAGTCTGACGTCAGCAGAAAGTCTCTTTGTTTTAAAAAAATAAATATGAAAAGTGTACACCATATACTGTATGACTAAAAATACAATTTAGAGTAGTGCTTACTTTCATATTTTAGCAGTACAACAACTACAAGGCATTGGTGCTTTTATCAGTCTATGTTGCGAGATGATATCAGTTAAGCATTACTATTTACTTTCACATTTTAATACTTCACAATGAATAATCAAATGGGAAAAAGTCTACTGTCCATTTAAGGCCTTCCCTGAGCACCTTTTTTTTCTTGTTTGGACAAGTTGTAATGGTGAGAACATGTAAGTAAACGAGGAAATATGTAGGACCAAAGGGAGAGTAAACTTTGTTCATTTTACTTGTATGCACTTCACTTATGTAATGACATTATCCACTGTGTGTCTTAGATGGACTTCTGACATCCCTGGTAACGAGGGTAGTGGTTGGCAGCTTGGTTTTCCTCTTGGTTGCAATGCTGGTCGGGTACAGGTGTTGCTTGAGAAGGGGGTGAGTATAATGCGCCTGTGTAATGGCCAGAATTACAAAGGTCCTCACTTGGTTGCTTTGGATTCATAGTCCCCTCTTCGTGATATAAGCCTGAATGTGTGTGTGTGTGTGTGTGTGTGTGTGTGTGTGTGTGTGTGTGTGTGTGTGTGTGTGTGTGTGTGTGTGTGTGTGTGTGTGTGTGTGTGTGTGTGTACTGTGCAGTATGTCTAACTAACTGTCCTCTCTTTGTTGTAGGCTCAGGAAGTGAAATTGGTGCCAAACCCTTCAAAATACTTCCACACGCTCTACTCCGTCCACGGAGGAAATCTGAAGGTAAAAAGAAAAATTCTCACAAAACATTAAGCCTTCTTAACACCATATTCTACCACATTCAATTTGCTGGTACGTGGGCTTCAGAGACTGCAGGCGTCACCACAAAAACCTATTTATACACACAGGTAGCATAACAATCAACTTCAATGTTCAAGTTCACTTCTTTATTTACTTTATTGTTCTGTTGAAGTAGGACAAAATCAATGTTTTTTTTTGTTTAAACTGCCTTTACAGCTTTTATACTTTCTCTGAAACTGTATGTGGCGTCGGCTGCTTTTCTAACTGCAGCTGCATCAACAACTGTGATGTCATTCGTCTTTGCGTGTGCACAGTGGGGGAGAGTGGCCAGTGCATATTAGTAATAGTCTGTAAGGGACAGGATGAGACTGGCAGCTGATTTTGATGGCGTTACATCAAGATTTCTAGCTAAGCTTAATATTAAATTTACCCGTTGTTTGCGTGCACCTTATCGATAAATGTACAACAGTAGACATTTTCTAGGCAAATTCTGACCTATAAGCAGATGTCTTCACATTTTCATATATTGATATCTTGAAAGAAAAAAAAACATTGTCTGCATGCACAAATCCAGTTTTTCTGTCATCTTGAGATATATATATATATATATATATAATATTTTACTGCTAAATGTCAGTTTACTAATCTCGAGGAGTCTTTCTGGAGCTTTGTTAATGGTGACTTGTGCTTCTTAACAACTAAGTTATTACAGAAATATGAAATATGATACTGATTTATTATGGCCAAAATGACCAGGTTCTAAATGTCTGCATATCTCAGTCTGTGCAACTTCAATTATGATAATTTTTTGAAGTCTGTCCTCTGTGTTTCCAGCTGTCATTGTCCTCGAATGGGCGTCATTCCTCTGCAAGCTTTCCTTGCCAAACAAACAGGATCTTGTCTACTATATAAATTGCCAATGTTGAAAACTAGAAGAAAAGCCTTAGCTGTGAGGGGCCCCTAAGTCGTTGACTGACCTACTTGCACATTTTCAGTTTGCGGTTTTGTATCAGGTTAATAAGGGAGTGTCGGTGTGCCTGCTCTCCACTAACTACTACGAGAAAGAGTTGCTGCATATCATGCCCCACATACCCCTTTGCGGAGGTTTTTCTTTTGCTTGTATTTAATCAACACTATAGATAAGAAGTGGATGATTTTTACAAAATCAAACCGATGTGAAAGTGCCCTGAATCTGTATTCTTTCTAATGGCCAGAAGGGGGAAATGGCCCTGGTTGCAAAAGACCAATAAGCCTGGAACCACATTAGAAATGTCCAAACATCTCACTCAGTTAATATCTCAGTAAACATTTTCTTTTGAATTGTGATCATAATTGCAAGTTTAAAGTCTTCTAATACACATCATGGCTTTGATCTAATTTGCCAGTAGAAAATGGATTAACTGAAGGGCATGGATAACTGAGATTATTATCGACCCAGTTATCTAAATATAGTTATTTCTGGGTCCAAAAAAACAACCAAACATGCACTCACTGATTACCAAAAATTGAAGGTATAGTAATAATATATGTCAAGAACACACATTACTTATCAAGTCATAGTTTAGCTGTTCACTAAATCACTTTCTTTTCCCCTAGAAATGGATGAACCCTCTCTCTGCCTCTGAATCATTCTTCACAGCCCAGCCCCGCGAACACATCTCCCCGGTTGAGTTGTGTGAAAGCTGGGATGTTGTCTCCTCCACCTCTCCCTCATCCACCTCCACCAGTGCTCTGCTACATTTTAAAAGCTCAGCAGGCTCAGACACCAGTGGGGTCAGTGAAAATACCACATCCGCCTCTTCTTCGTCGTGCTTCTTCAACATGGGTTACTTCAACTCGAGCTCCTCCAGGAGCTCAGCTCAGAATGACCCCAGCCCCGCTTACTTCACCTATCGGGACGATTTACACAATCTGCACAACAGCCACGCTCTCCACCTCTCCCTCTGCCCTTCATTTGACATCTCTCCAGCTTATGAGAGCTTGAAGAGGGAGCCGCAGAGCCCGGACTCTGGCTTTTGCATTGGTAAGGAAGATGAGGCGGACATAGAAGATAACACATTTGCATGTGTAAAAAGGAAGGAGGTGTCTCCTCTTCTTATCCTCCCTCTCCGTCTGCCCACCCCGATGTTCCCCCCCTCATCTCGTCAACCCCCTCCCAACGCTCCGAGTCTGGTTCAGGTGGCTCCTGATAGCGTACAGGTGGAGAAACCTGTGGAAGCTGCTCCTGGTTGTAGCTACGCAGCCTGGCCTTTGGCTGGTGCCATGAGCAGGTCGTCGTCCATGCCGGTGGAAACCTGTAAAACCGGATACCTGACCCTCAAAGAGCTACAGACAACATTCAGCAATAAATCCATCTGAAAACTTCAACGTACCTGAACAAATCCCTCTGAAATCATTAATCAATTATACATTATAATCTGATCATGTATGGAAGAATTTGGGTTACAATTTAGGGGGTTTTTGTGTTTGTCAAAAAAATATTTGAAAAACAGTATGAGTATGAAATGTTTTTTTTGCAAATTCCAATATTTTAAGCTTTTATTTGAAATGAACAAATGTTTTGGTAGAGGGAGAAACTGAAAGCCTGCAATGTATTATATAACATCATGACCTAATTACATTTTTGTAGCAAATGGATTCATATATATATCATATATCATATATATATAAGATATAAAAAGTTGACTATATACAGAACTAACATATACAGAACCGTTTTGAGCTGTGTTACTTAACACTTTAAGAATATCAAATTGACTCTTTAAGCAGAGAAAAACACATGTTGAGTTTGTTTTGATAATGAAAAAGAGCATAAGCATCATTGCTGGAGAGTATAAGTATAAGAGTCTGTAAATATCTAAACAAACAAAAACCTGGCATTTTTTAGTATGTAACAAGTTTTTTTTCTACAGCAACATTTGAGTATTTAAGTCTATGGCTATCAAATAAAAGGCAGCTCTTCAACCCTTGACGTTTTTTGTTATAAAATATGATTTAATTTTTTCATCCTCTGAATAGTTTAAGAAGTTTGAAACATCCCATCTATATTTTGGTGCCCCCTGTGGACAAAGCGGGACCTTTTATAACTTTGCTGAACTGTAAATGTGTAAGTAGTGTCTTCAAATGGAACATACCGTCCTGCTGTCTATTAACAGTGACATTTATCACTTACTTTCAGTCTTTGACGTTGAAAATGTCATTAAAAAAAGAGGTAGTTTTTTGCAGCATGCAGTCAATCACCTTGTAATTAACCTACCCACTGACATCAAATACAGGCATAAAAAAATATCCGCTTATAAATCATCAACCTTGTCAGTTTCATAACCAGCTCAAACCCCCTCACAGTAGCTTTGATCAGACTTCAAAGACAGATCCTACAAAATGGATGAATTGCTGAATCTAGATTCATGTTCATCAGTGAGGTCGGTGACACGTGTTGATCATCTCCTCCCTTCGTGTGTCTTTCTGTGTATTTCCGTTGCAAACAGTGACATCTGTGCAGCGACCAAACACAATACAACTTCTAGTAGAAATGGGTCACCCTTTGACTTCCTGTGTCGTTGTGGAACGAGGGCTGAGGGGTGGGCATGTGAACGGACGTGAGAAAGCGTGCGAGAGCCTGAGTTCTACGTGTGTGATACATACATGTGAGTGTGTGTGTGTTCAGAGTGTTTCTGAGTGTTTACATGTCCTGTCAGGTGGTCCCGGTGGTGTGTGTGTGTGTGAGAGAATGAGCGTGTGCATTAGAGTGTGGTTTGACATTTAACTCTGACACAACCAGCGACATCTGTTCACCTCTCAGAAGATTTACAATATTAAGCCATGTCAGTAACAAACCACATAATGGGGTTTTTTTTCTTTCCATTTCTCAAGAACTGTTGTTACATCATACACACATTATGTAAAAACACTTTGATGATTTAGACAGAAAAATAAAGATGTTCGTATGCCAGAAAGCTTTTTTTTTTTAACCTGCGTAATGTTTGGTGAAAACCTTTTTAGGTGACCTACTACGTTGCACAAATTTTGAAAACCTATGCAACCGCAGTACAATTTACATCTGGTTCAAAACGACATATTCCTCTGACAATTTTTTAAATTGTAAATGTGTTTACTTGTTCCTTGCATATGTGATAATTCCACTGTGTTAAAATATATATGTATATATCTATATAATAAATATATATAATACAGCACCAGCAATACTGTGTGAACTTAACTTAACAGTTAACATAAAACCACCAGATAATCAAAAACAATACAGTAGGTTGCAATGACTCAATCTTAAAAACAAAAGCTTCTATTTCACTTTAACACAGTCAAATGTTTCAGTAATTATATGAAAATTCTTTAGCAAAAAACATTTAAAAAACTAGACATATGATTAACAGTCAACTAAAAATAATGACAAGAAGACAAACATCCAAAACAGCCTTAACACAAGCCAACATCTAAAACTTTAGCCTTATTTTAAACTTACATTCTTTGTTTTCCATGATCTAAATTATAAGTAGTTAAATTATCATTAACTTAATGACAGCTAAATGTATTTTGGATTACTCATAAAGGATTATTAAAAAGTTACAAGTTAGTCATTGTACCTCATTGGTTGTCATGGTAACTACTCAAAACACCCGCATCGAAAAGTGTTACCCATAAATGGACAATGTACAAAAGCTTATTAAATTTTACCACTGAAACTATTTTTTTCATGTGAAACAGGATTTGTACTTTAATATGGAATTCAAACACTTACAAGTGTTCATGAGTTAAAAATGCAATGCTTCTAAATAGAAAATACTAAAAATTAAGGACTTTCTTATTGTTCATAATAACCCAGATGTAAAGGCATGGAGCGGATCCAGGGGTGGCCATGGCCCTCCCTGAAATCAGATTGGCCACCCCGAAATCCTTTACAATGGTTGGCTATTAGCCTTGTCAGAGGCATGGCTTTTTCTTCTTCTTTTTTTTACTATTTGGGCTGTTGGGGGCTACAAGTGGCTTTCTTTGCATTTCAATGTTTTCCTCTTGTTAGAACTTCAAATTAATAATTTAGAAATGCATCTTCTTTTTGAGCCCTTAAAGAATTAGGCTTTGAAAATATGCTGCTCAGTTGTGTTACCTTTTAAAGTCAATACATCAATACAGTTTTATGCAGGAATGTAAAATATTTAAGATAGCATACTTAAATATAATTAGTTCTTAAAGATAGAAAGAGTAAATAATGCTTCGTATCCATGTCTGTGTGTGTCTGAGAAATTCTAACTCTGCCACTGAACCCATCTTCTGAAGTCAATTAGCTTTATTTAAAAAAAAGGTAAATAGCTTCAGAAGATTTGGTTTGCAAGAACAAAATGTTTTCATACATTTATGCGGTACTGAAGAATTTGCAGATTTTTCTTTCTTTTCTGCTCTGAAACATTTTCCTTTAAAGAGCAGAATGAAGAGCAACACTGAATTTTAGAATGGATGAAAATATGGAAAATAAACAAACAAATCACAATTCTTTTAGACAATTGGCTTGTTGATATTTTTTTATACAGCATTGACACATTTTGTAATGCAAACATGTCTTACTTTTATTAATAAATCAGTCCATATGAAGATCATCAAATAATATAAAAATATCCGGTCCAGAGATAATTGTTTGTTTTTAATTGCTAGTAGTAAAAATAAAAATAAATAACAAACAAAACAGTGGCTATCTGGAGGTCAATTTCACTGTCATGTTATCAATCTAAGCATTGCAGGCCCAATGTGATGAACCTGTGCTTTAATTTTACATAACCAAGAAATAAATGTCTTTGTTGCACCATGTTTCTCCTGCCACTAGGTGACATCAAAATACTAAACATATCCCTATAGAGCTACATAACCATGACCCCTTTCTTCCCCCTGTGCCACCAGCATGCCAACCATTTTACATTCATTCCCTTTGAACTGGTTCAGTAAAATGAGTTTGTATCTGCTGAGTATGCTTGGCAGCTGGATGGCTCTGCGGTCTCAGCTTTTTTTTAATTTTCGTTTTTAGATTTCCTCTGTGTGCTGTGTCAATCACTGAGAAAGCTTTGGTCCAGCTGGGCAGAGAGAGGGAGACATAAATCAAAGACAGGAGGGAGAAACTTGTAAATTCTGTTGAAAATAAACAGGGCTTGTTTTGGATCTGAGCCACAGTGAAATAGGAGGATGTGAGGTGGGCCTGACTGACTGTTTCACCCTCATAATGTGGAGCAGAAACAGAGAGCCAGACTGCTGTCAGGAGGAGGAGACATACTGGTGAGGGAGAACAGAAAAAAGAGACTGTGAGGATAGCCAGAAAGCCGATGTAAGGATGATTAGTATATACACTAAATGCAAACAAACACTAGACCCTGGTACATTCTACTGGAACGAGTCCAGCTCCTTTTCAAAAGCCTGGTTTCCTGTCATGATTTGGTTTCTTATTTTCAGAGTTTAGGTTTTCTTGTTGTTTTTAGTTCTCATTCTTGTCTGATGGTGTTGTTTCCCTTGTGTGTTTTCTAGGTTAGTGTTTTATGTGTTATTTTTGTAACTTCATATCCTAGTGTTTCTTTATGTTCTAGTGTGTTTTGTTTCATTCTTGAGTTCTTTGTGTCTTCAGTGTTTCATGATTTAGTTTTGTAGTTGTCCTCAGTGTTTCTTGTCTTGTGTTTATTCCTTCCTCTGTGTGTGTTTCCCTCCAGTGTTGATTGCCCTCACTGTCTTCACCTGTGTCCTTAGTCTCACCTGTGTTTGATTACCCCTGTGTCTATTTAGTCTCTATGTTTCTTCCCTTCTGTGTCAGTTCGTGTATGTTGTATGGATGTCAGTTTTGCTCTTGCTCCTCTGCGGCTCCCTGTTTTTGATCCCTGTGTGTTGTGTTGAACTTTTAAAATTAAGTTTTGTTGCCTTTGGCCTTTTTGTTTAATTAAATATTTTTGGTTTCTGCACTTGGGTCCACCTCCCTTGTTTTTCCAACCGTTCGTAACAGTTTCCAATACATTCATCATGTTTGCGAAACACGCTTATTCCCTTTCTTGAACAGACTGAGATCAGACAGTCTTGCTTTCACGTTTGTACTTTAATACTAAGCTAGCGCCGGGAAAATATTAGCTTAGCTTAGCTTAGCACGAAGCCTGAGGATGGGGAGAACTGAAGCAATAAAAATCCATCCTTCTGAAACACGTCGTCATTAGTACAGTTGTCACGATACTTTTATAAGATTCTAGTAAAATATCCAAGCGGCGACCTCCGGTGCGGAAAAATGATTCCGATGCGGAAGTGTGAAATCCTGCAGTTCTTTGAGTGATGTGTTGTATTTTTTTTATGTCCATGCTGGTCACTTATGATCTTGCATCACATTTTTAGCAAGCATAACTGTCTTAGACTTGTGCATCTTTTTTTTTTCTTTTTTTCCTGAGCACCACAAAAATGCTCTAAGCCCTGAAATGTTGATTCAACTCTGAATTACTGCCATAAATGCCATTCCCTGATGATTGTGTCAGACACTAAAAATATGGGACCAGGTTGCAGGGAGGAAAAATAAAATCAACTTCAAAGTCTCTATTCAGCATTTATTAGCTCCAGATTGCATTAGTATCTGATTGCCTTCATTTCAGTCAGTCAATAGACTTTAAATAATGAAGCGTCAAATCAAAACCAATATTTTCCCCATGACACTTAACGGAAATAACAGGTCTCGACTCAACTCTTTGAGCTACACTTCTGATTCTTTGAGACAACAAATGTTTACAGGCAGATAGCAGGAACGGCATCTGGTGGTTTCAAGAGTAATAGTTTACATCAGCCGGAAAGCCGGAGGAATCTTTGTCTGATGTCACTACACAACAGTCTACAAAACCTAAACCTCAGGGAACCAACAGCTAATGTTTAACAGCTGTGCTCATCGTAGGCTACACGTGTGCACAAGTTCTACCTCAACCTCCTTCTGTTCTCTAAAAGCACTACATCAAATATAAAACACTTAGTTGGACTTATTTCATCCACCACTCCTTAGCAATCGGCCAAGGAGCGGACCCTTAAGTCGTTGTTTGTTGTCACTTGGCCCAATGTCTGAAGTTTTTCACGAGCTGTCTTTTCAGTTGGTGATCAATCAGCAATATTCCTAACAACAACATTTGAACTTTCAATCTTTCATGAGTGTGATCTCGTAAAAAAAAAAATAGATAGGTAGAAGTCTGTTGCCTTCATTTTCTGTCTCTATGTATCCTGTACTCAGTCCTTAAATTACATGGCTCTTTCTGGAATTTTTCTCTTCCGTCTGCCTCGCTCCAAATCAAACCTGTGTTGGAACACGATACACTTAATTAAGGTCTGGAAATATAGATTATACCTTCTCCTTCCCTCTCTGCCTGCAGCTGCAGAAGATGAGGAATGGAGGAATTTAGCAAGGAGAAAATGAGGACCCTTGGGAGGAACACGTTCAATGACCTTTGACTTTGTTGAATAGTTCTTTTGTCCTCCGCAAGAGAGAAAAAGAGCGAGAGACAAACAGACTTAAACAGAAAGACGGACAAGCAAAAGAAACAACATCTGAGATTTACAGTCAAAGAGGACAGCAAATGCAAAACTTGACATTAAATCCGTAACTGTCGTTTTATCAACCCTAGCCTACAAAGTAAGAACGAGCCCCCACATTTGCTATGTATCTTTAACAACAGCATATCTTCAGATCAGGACACCTTTGTCTGGCAGCGCATGTTTATGTTCCTCCACACCGCAGAAGGCTACCTAGCATGCTACACTTCCAGCTAGCATAGGCCTACTTGAATGAGTTGTAGTAACTACCAAGTTTGTAGTGAGCACAGAGTCTTGCATTTATTTTGCAAGACAGTTTATCTTGTCTAGTATCCCAGAGTGACACTTTTCTAGCTTCTTCTTTGAAGCTGTGGGGTGTTACAGTTTATTGAGTGACCCTGTTAACTGGTGACATTTAGCTAAATGTCTCGTGGGTGTCATATGTAGCAATAGCTGTCTTGCGCATGTCTTTTTGTTTAGTTTTTCAAGAAAGTTATTTATGAGGAGAATATTTTGACATCAGAAAAAAGAAAATAGCCAAGAGGCACAAGGTTATTATTTTGCTTTCCAACATCTGTTGTAGGCTAACTAGGCCCAACCACATAGCCTAGCCTACTCTTTAGAAGAAAGTCATCAGGGTCACTTAAAGGCTTTATATGTGATTTTTTTTTTTGATCCAGCAGATGTCGCCCTTGAGCACCAGCATGAAACCAAAACAACTTGCGCTTGAGCGTGATCTAGAAACACAGTTAAGCAGTGAGTACAGTATGTTATTCTTCTTTTTTTCTAGTCCCTCAATTAAACAACTTTTATACACGAGGGGAGGAGTCAGCCGCTGTCCTGGCGATGTAAACAAACTGAAGATAGGACTCTGAAAACTCGGAACAACATCACAGACAGTGGGACTCGTGTGTTACACCCATTGTAGACAGTCATGACTCACAGAGTTATTTTCAGAGGATATACTTGAGTTCTATTATATTAAGTGTGAAAAATCGCATATAAAACCTTTAAGCCAACATATCTGCTTCTTTTTTATTTTTTTATTTTTTGGGGGGGTTGTTCAATTTAGCTTCTTAATTGCTGAATACTGCCACCCTCAGGTGCACATAGGTATTACAGCAGCAAACACAACTTCTGTTTTAACGTCAATATTTTAAACTAACGTTAAAATCTCAGTTAATGCTCACTGAGAGGCGTTAACTGTAAAAAAATAAAAAATAAAAAATGCACATGATGATACACTTGTTGCCTGCATGAAAGTAAAGTCTCGTTAAAGGTTGTCAGCTCCCTCCCACAGAAACAGACGGGGGGGGAGAGAGAGAGAGAGAGAGAGAGAGAGAGAGAGCACTGCTGACTCAGGAGTCTCTCCCTCTTTCTCTCTCTCTCCTCCGTCCTCGGCGGATCAAGCGGCTGCAGAGACAAGAACGAGGTGAGATTCATTCAGGTCAAAGTGTCCGTTTTCATTAGAAAAGAGAGCTGGATGGATGTGATGCTCATTCTGAGATCATTTGCCCGTTTACATCATGAAGCATGAAACTCGTTGAGTGGTTTCAAACAGATGGTTGATGCATGGTAAACTGCAGAAATAGCCAAAGTATCCTATTACTTTTGAGCGTTGCTTTAAAGTGGAAGTAATGCAAAATGCTGACTGTAAAGGTGTAGTCTATTGGCCTATTTAAAGAGGTTTCTGGATTTGTTTATAGTATAAGTTAAGTATTCTTCTGAAATATGCCTCTTTATCTTTTTGATGGTAGCTTACTTAAACTGAAAAAAGCTTGTTTTTTGCCTCCTTGTAAATAATTGTTGTCTATTTGTAGTCTTTCTGTCTGTGTTTCTCTGTAGTCATTGTGTGTTTTCTTTGTGGTTGATGTGAGAATCCAGCATTGTATTTTTTGTGCACATTTCCAGCTCAAGTGGGGGGGGTTTCCTTTAAAACCCTTCAAGTTATATCCCAGTTAATCATACACACTGAAATGCTCTCTGAGGTCCATGGCTGGATTTCCTGTGTTTAGTTATTTGACATTAAAAAAAAGGTTCCAGATCTTCTACATTGAAGCAAGACCGTCAGACTAAAGGAGGAACATTGTTTGTCTTTGTGTCTCTGTAATCATTTTGTGAACCTTTGAAATCCCTTATTATCGGTTGGTTTGTGTTCTCCATCCATGTTTCACTCAGCTTCTCTTTTGTGGTTCTTTTTGTCTCTTTGGAGTAATTATTTCCCTTTGTAGTCTGTATGTGTATCTTTGTTGTCATTCTATGTCTTGTTGTAGTTGATTAGACTCTACTTTGAATCACATAGCATGTCTATTTGTTGTTTTTTGTGCCTATAATTTCTCCCCCAAAAGTATTTTTTTTCTATTCGATGAGCTTTTATCTTTGAATTAAGTCATTTTGTGTCTTTGCAGCTGTTTTATCTCTTTTTAAAGATTGATAGGACAGTGGAAAGAGTAGGAAATCAGGTGAGAAAGAGTTGGAAATGACGTGCAGGACAGGAGCCAAAGGTCCGATTTGAACCCGGGCCGCCTGCTTGGAGGACTATAGCCTCTGTACATGGGGTGCGACCTAATGGCTAGACCATTGGCGTCCCATTTTTTGTCTCTTCTGAATCAGTATGCATCTCTTTGATTTAAATTTAAGCTAGAATCAAACCAGTTATGTATAGCAATTTATTTCACTTAAGTTATGCTGCTTACTAAAACCATCTGTTCAGGCTTTACTTATTATTCTAATGCTAGAAGAACGTGCAGCTGTAAATGTTTTTCAACTTTAAGAGCACGTCTGTTTGGAGTCGTTTTTTTTTTTTTTGGGCTGCTGAGTCCAGTTGTGTAAAAAGGATGCAGCTATCAGTGTGGATGCAGCTGTGATGTATAAACACAGCAGCACACAGTGTTCCAGTTACAGTACACAGAGACTGGACGACTGCTGAGAGTCTGGCAGACAGCCATCACTTTTCCATTGAGAAATTCTCAGTTTGACATTCTGTTGGAAAAAATCCCTCTGAGTGGGTTTCTTTGGTTAGAATAGACCCTTAAAATGACTCATTGCTTCCTGGGATAATTAGTGGTGATTTATGAGCGGCCTGCGGGGTCATTTTTCAAGTCATTTTATGACCCTGTACCCTGCTCTTCTCTCTCACTGTTTTTAACATTTTCTCTTAATAGTGATTTATCTTTGATGCTCTGTTTGACCTTTTCAGAGTCAGCTATTGCGAAAGTATTCGCAAAGGTTTTCTATTTCATTTCAAGTGCTTATTTTTTGCATGATGGCTTCCCTTTATTTGTTTCCCACATTTCCTGGCTCCTGTTTCTTGTTGTTGGGGTGAAAAATGTTTTCCCTGGCTCAAAGTGGAATTTTCCTCTTTCTCTTCTCTGCTGCTCTGGGAATGACATCAAGGACACTTAACGGTCTGACTTTCTGAGCAGCTGCTTAACAACCGATATTTTGACTAGTACACATGTTTCACAAATCGAATGCAACGGTCTTTGCTGCTGGCGTGTAACGATCACATCAGTGGTGTAACATAGTGGAAGTTCATTTGTGTCTCTGTACCCGGGCATCTCTCAATTTAGCGCCACACTAACTGTGCTGGTGATGCCCCAACTTTTCTGCTAGCATCACCACGAGTTTGAAGTTCAGTGCAAATAATGCCATGAAATGAATCCTCATTAAATCCAGTACACACATTAATGTTCTCCACATGATGAACCATCATGAGTTTTCATTGAGCACAAGCATCGGGACTTAAAAACTGTCCAATATTATGGATTAATGACTCAATCCCTGCTGTATCTAAACTAAAGTTTGGCCTAAATACAGTCTTACACAGCGGCTAGCATTCTTAGAGACTCTTATACTGTTGTATGTTTTTTTGTGATTCTTTTGTAATAGTGGGTCAGACAATGGTTAAAAAAAATGTATACCAGAGTTTTGTTTCTCATTGTAAATAGTTTAGATCATAGCATAGTTTCCTCTTTTCTCACTGCAGGCGCAGTGATGTTGGGAGTCCTCCTCCTCCTGTCCCTCTTCCCAATGGTGGCCCTGGTGCCCCCTCCCAGCGGCCCTCCTGTACCCTGCAGGCGCTGCTGTGACCACCTGGAGCCAGAAGATGGCAGCGGAGCCGAGCTTCCAACAGGAGGGTTCAACCATGTGCCAGAAGTACGCACCTACATCAACATGACCATCCTTAAAGGTATGTTTTTCTACATCTATATCTCTATATCTGCACACGGCTAATTTTGACTTACAGCTTTTGTACCCACGTGTCCAACATCAAAACAGGAATGTAATTAAACAAACCAGGACCGGAAATGAGGCGGCTGTGGTTTCTCTCTAGAACATACTTTCTTTATTACTGACAGTTGTCTGATAAGTGAGTCAAATCAGACCCTCGAGGAAGTTGGGACGTCACAATCACAACAATAATGCAAAACTAACCATTGTTTGTGCGAGTTCCGCAGCCTTATCATTTTGCAATTGAATCCAAAAGCTGTTGCAGCTGCATTTTAGGTCAAAAATCCTCATTAAAGCCTGACAAATGTATTGACTGACTAGTTGTACTCTGTGCAGGCGACAAAGGAGATCGTGGCGACAGGGGAACACCAGGTAAACTTGGACACGAAGGCCCACCAGGCCCCAGAGGTGAAACAGGCTCAACCGGCTCCAAGGGCCAGGCCGGGCTTCCAGGAGACCCCTGCAAGATCCAGAACTCGGCCTTCTCAGTCGGCCGCCGCAAATCACTCCACAGTCTGGAGTCCTTCCAGGGTCTTTTGTTTGACACGGTTTTCGTCAACCTGGGGGACCACTTTAACATGTTCAATGGTAAATTCATTTGCCATATCCCGGGGGTCTACTTCTTCAACATCAACATCACACGTGGAATTTTAAAGAGACATATCTGCACATTATGCAGAACGAGACGGAGCGCGCCATCGTTTACGCGCAGCCCAGCGAGCGCTCCATCATGCAGAGTCAGAGCCTGATGCTGGAGCTGGAGCTGAGTGAAGAGGTGTGGGTCCGCCTGTACAAGAGGGAGAGGGAGAACGCAATTTACAGCGACGATGTAGACGTCTACATCACCTTCAATGGATACCTTATCAAAGCTAGTGCAGAGGGAGAATGAAGAAGAGAGGGAAGGCTGAGGATTGGACTGATGAGCAACAACATGCAATTCACTGTAAAACAAGTTCTCCTCTTCCTCATATAGAAAAGACATTCAGCATGGTAGCTGAAAAATAAGCAATATCTCTTGGAGAAAATGTGAACAATGATCTCGATCTGCAATCACCTCATAGGAAAGTGTAGAAAATGTTCAAGTATCTAATGCAGAATGAGATTCATACAGTGATACTGCAAACCAGCCATGACAGAAAATATGATTATTTGTTATCTTGCCATGCGTTAATAGGAGATTAATATCACTTTTGTAACTAATTAATAAATCCGAGCTGAAACTTGCAGCTGGTTAGCGTAGCTTAGCATAAAACCTGGAAAAGCCGGTCTCCGGGCAGAGGTAACAAATCTGCCCATCAGCACTTTTAAGGTTAACCGAGGGTTTTTGTTAAACGTATTTACTTTTTGATCGATGGTTTTATAAAAACAAAAGAAGACAGAATTGAACTGTACAATTTTTTATCCGTTTAATTTTAATGAAGAAAAAGATGATATTTTGTTATCATCTGCAATTTGAAAAAAGCTAAGTTGTGGTTTATGTTATAGGATAAAGTTAGGAAAAGTAAAGTCAATAAGGCAATAATATCACTGGTACTGTCAGCTCATACTGATTTTTGTATGTGGTGCTAAAAACGGTGCTAACTAAACTTTTGTTTAGTGTGAACTTACAGTTACTGAAAATGCAGAAAACCATCATGTGTTTTTAATTCAAATAAAAAGACATTAATTACATTGTATTTTAAACTCACTTGACTGTTGAAACAAGTTTGCCAGAAGGTGCTTGCAATTACCTACAATTAAAATAGATATAATTAACATTAGATCTCATATTATATGATTTTATACTTGATTTTACAATAGGACAACTATCAGTTAAAATCTTGTGTTACATTTTTCTAACTTAGACACCACAGGAGAATAATGAGGTAAGTATTTTCATTGTGTAGGCCCCTATATGTTTGTTTTTAATTATTTCCATCAGTGGGCTTTACGTTTAATGTATAGTCCATGTCTACAATGTTACACATTAATGTAGTTTATGTTGTTAGTTGTTCACATGACCACTAGAGGGCATTCAAACCTCATTATCAACTGCAGAGGTAAAGTCCTGAAGTCAGACACCAACAATCCTCATTTGTCGTACTCATGAACGCAGCAAAGTCTTCCCACGTTTATATTCAGACCACTGATATAAGAGTTATATGAATTAACTACCCCCCCCCCAATTTCAACGAAGCTGTCTTCTCTACACTACTAATTATTCCAAATCTTGAAGATGAGACAGTATCATCAAATTTAAATAGTTCAATTTGATATTAAACTATAAGCAGCTTAGCAACTCAATATTAATTATGTGCTATCTTATGTGATTTTCATTGTGCCATTATATCATGTTACAAGAGGGAGAATGTTTTATTGTGTTTTTATTCAGTCGAGATAAGTAAGAGACAAAGAGAAGTTATTACATTTCCCATCATGCCTCTCAACCTTTATTTCTCTTGTGCAAAGATCAGATGATGCATGACACATTTAATACTAATGAAACTGATTTTTTTTTTTTGCATTTCCCCCATTACAAAGAGAAAAATAGCTTTTTTTGAGACCTTAAAATTTGAAGCCTAAAACAATTAGTCAGAATTTTGTTCAGGTAAACTATTGAAAATTAAAGTTGGAAAGAGTCCAAATACATTACTGTTACTGGATTTGGCACAGCTGAACCTCTTAAACCATCAGATGTATTTTCCTGTTCCAAACCCTGCATCCTCCATTAATAGATGGGACGTGGGTAAAACTATTAAATTAAGGGCTCATTTCAAACATAAGCCCTTTTCATAATAATGATAATAATACATTCTATTTATAACGCACTTTACATTTTAAGGAAATCTTAATGTGCTACAATTTGGATAAAACCATAAAAACAATTAAAGTCAAACAGATAAAATCAGGCAGCGTTAAGAACCTGAGCATAAAACAAGATCTAAGATCTTTTCAGACTGCTTTTTTCCGCAAAAGTGCCGCAACTAAGCTCAGCCATCATCACGTCTTTGTGCGTTCATATTGATTCAGCGAAGGCATAAACTTGGTGTCCTAGTGTGTGAATTCCCATGGAGTGTGAGCTTTGTGGAAGCATGGCAAAGCGGGAGCTCCACATAGACAAACACACAGCGCTGCACTCCCCCGCTGGCTCAGCTGAAACAGTCTCGCCTCTGTCGCACCTCTGGTACTAAAGATTGTACAGAGGGGGGGAGGTTCACATCATCTCGCCATATGTCTCTGCAAAATTCAGATTAATGCGAGGCGTCACAGGGGCTTAAAAATCGCAGCTTGAAATGGCAGTCTGACTAGGGCTATGGTTTCTGTCATTATATTTAGTTCTTATCATGTTGAATTATGTCCAAGTCTTCAGTTTTCTTAGAAACTCAGTTTTTAATTAGTTATTTGATGCACTAAAAAGAAGGCGTAATGTCATGATAAGACAGCTCTGTTGACAATGTGGCTCCTGTGGCACTGCCTGCAGCAGACAGAGTAAGATAATGAACTGTGAAAGGAAACACAACCGACACTATCAGGAACTTTCCATAAGCGTGTCTACATCAAACCGACTCCGCCGATTTAAGGGACGTTTTATTGGTTAGAGTTTCGCTTTATAGGAGGGTTGAGATGTTGACACCGCAGCACAGACTCTGCCTCCAAATGATGTCACATCGAAATATACGGTCCCTGGTTTCAAGCTGCAGTACTGAAGCTCAATCATTTCTTCCATTAGATGAGAACAAAGTCTGTACAGTCAAAGTTTGATATCAATTTAAAAAAAAAAAAAAAGACAAACAAATAAGCCCAAAGGCAGTGAGACAACACATGTTGATGGTGTGAATAAGAACATCTTTAGTGACTTGCAGAATAAGGTTGCACAGACCAAGTCCATATCACATACAGTACAAACCACAGTTATCCTGTGTGTTAAATGGCATACAAACAAATCCATGAGTAGACACAAGAGAGTCCTCGGAGACTCATAAAGACAGTTTGATCATTCTGCTGAACGTCTGTGTTCTTCCTTTTCTCTCCTTTTTATAACCACACATGATAAACGAAGCTCAGGGTGTCAAGTACACCTTGGGGTGGCCTCATATAGCTCTCACTGCTTTGTGTTTAAAATAAAAATGTAGTCCTTCTACAAAAATACTTTTTTTTTTTTTTTTTTTTTTGCTGTGTAAACTTTTACATCCAAAGGCACTATCTTATCTTCCCGCTCTCAGCTCATGGTGTGATTAATCCTGACAATCCCATGATCAAACCTTCACTTCAAAAACGGACGATATCGCTGACCATAGCCTCGTTTTGCATCGATTTAGAGTACTGGCAGAACTTGTCGCATTGCATCGCACATACTGAAAACACTCCTTGAAATGTGTTCAGCTCCATGCTACAGAATCCTACGTGCCATGAAAATGCTGCCATAAAAACTTGAAAAGCGTTCCTTATTTTTTAGTAAGCAAGAGGAACAACACTGTCTCCTGGATTAACCAATGTAGTTCAGTGTTAGTAAAAACAGTTTGTGTGTAAATACATACATACATAAACGGATAAAATCATCATCAAAACATCATCTTGGTAACAAGAGGCAATAAAAGGACATGTTCCCTTTGAAAAGCTGGCCTTTTAAACACACAGTGGCGCACCTGTGTACATCAAAGCTGAGAAACACAAGAATGCTGAAGCTCAGTTGAATGCCTCAAACACAAGCTGAGACACATTCAGCTATGACCCAGAGCTGATACGCCTCTCCTATGACGAACAATTTATCATGAGTAGCAGACTATGAAATGTTAAAATGATGCAAAGCAGTTAAAGTGTAGTCTGAAATGCTTCATATTGAAGGTTGTGCATTATGTGATATGTAACATATAAGAATAATCTTCATGAGGTATGAAATAATTCAACCTTTTTCTTTTTTTAAATGAATAGCTGTCATCGAGTATATATCTGCAACATAAAAATCCCTTTCATGCAAAGAAACATTGCACTTAACTCAACGTGCATTAAATTAGACCGCCAAAAATCTAGTGCAACTACACTTTAAACTAATACATTTACATCTTGTTTAGACTGAATTTCCTGTCTGCTGCATTTACAGTGATGTAAAAACGGAAGCTGTTTCCATTACTTATTTTTCCTATCAATACCCAAGAGTAAATTTGGTAAATACTGATTTAAACAATAATAAACCTGAAAACAGAAGATTTTTCTGGGGGAGCTGGTAATTTGTTATGGCACTGGTTCAACACTTTTGTACCAGCATACTGACTGATATCTAATTTCAGGCAGTGTCCTGAGCCAATATCATTACTTGGATCTGTATTGGAATAACTCAAGTCAAAACGTACCAGTATGATCGCAAACACAAAAGAGTATTGATATCTGACATCACTTAACCAATCCTGTTATGAAGCATGTGTTAATATCACCGTCGGTCACGACACAACTGTGACAACAGAAATAACAGTCTTGGCATGACAACAAAAATGAAAGTGCAAGGCCCAACATCAGACAGTACGGGATTTCTGCAATGACAGCTTTCATTTTTCAAGTTGTGTGACACCTGGAGCGCCTCGTGTTTCCCCAGCAGCGCTCTAACTATTCCAAATGCGTTTATTTCCCCAATTGGGGGAATTGGGGCAGCTTTCGGTTATGGTGATGAAAGAGTGTCTAAGTTGCTTAGAAACTTTAATTTGTCTAGAAACAAACTATGGAGGGCTTTTGTTGGATACCTGGGGCTATAGGACTTTAACAAATAAGTCCTATACTTATAAGACATGAAGGGATATTAGAATGTTAGTTGATGGTTATATACTAAGGCTGAAGTCCTAGACAGTGGCCTTGAGTTCCAATTAGACCTCGGTCCTTTGCTACATGCCCCTCCCCCCCTCTCTCCTACCAACATTTCTTGTCTCTCTTCAGGTTTTGTTTCCAATAAAAGGCAAAAATGGCCAAAACACGACTAAAAACAATATTTTCTTACATATTTAAGGTCAGGCAATCAGATTGGGCAGTATTCTGAATATTGTTGGCTTCAACCAAAAAAAAGGCAGTTTAGCATGCTTTATGTTAAAGAACCTGCACCATGTCTGATCAGGGCCTGTGACACTTAGATGTTTTCCTTACCTCAGTTTTGAGTAAACAACAATGAATGTACATCTTCTTAGGGGCTTACTCTCAGAGAAATCTGCATCTTAACGTTCTCCCCTCTATGTGTGTGCTTTGTGTTATCTTTGTGATTTAACTTCAGTAATGGATAATAGGTGTTACCTGGCATAGGTGTGCTTCCTCAGAGGAGTGAGTTTCCTCAATGTGCACATTCAGTGAAGAACAGATGTGACAGGAGGAGAGATGGAGGTGTTGCTGTTGAGCGTGGGGTTATTCATAACATTAATAAAAACACTGTGTCTGAGTTGTGTGATCAGCTTCGTAGAAACATGAGTCACTCGTCGAGGATCCAGTCTGGTTTGTCGTAGCCGAAGAGCCTGAAGTCAGGTTCATACAGCTTGTAGAGTTCTCTCCTCACCTCGACAGGCACTGTGCTGAACCAATCAGCCTCCCAGCTGCTGGCTGTGAGGTTCCTATGGGAGGTGGGGAACTCAACCACATTGTCCACCCGAAGCTGTCGCAGAAGGTGCTCTGCGTCCTCCTCTGCTGTCTCCAGATGGCCCACAAAGTCATACTGAATCTGGCATGGGTGGCAGAGTCGGTACACCTGCCGCCAGTGCTCATTAAAGGGCATCTCTTTTTCTGTCTGAGGGTCCAGGAGGTACTGGATGAAGTTGGAGAAGGAGGGGTGGACACCCACATTGAATGCCTCGTCCACTGAGGCAGGAGGTGTTGGCTGGTTGGCGTAGCGACGCAGCATGACCTGTGCAAAGCGCCGATAGAAGTCTTCGTTGCGTAACTCAAATTTATTCCTGTAGGCGGAGATGAGGCGCACAAAGGGGTCCCGCACGAAAAGAAACTTGGTGTACTTCTTCAGCTTCACCTTCAAAATAATAAAAAGTGCATCAACACATCATGTATTTTTACCACACAAATAATGGACAATTCATTGATTTGGCAAAAGAACAATCTTAAATACAGAACTTGTAACATGTTGTGTGAGAAGTGACGTTCTGTGAAGTGGCCTCAGCTTCACAGCACTCAGACTTTTTTTTTTTTGTGAGGAAAGGAGTCTGGAGCAGTTCCTCCCACAAAATAAATACATGAATACAATTGATATCCCTGTGTGGGAAGCACAGTAACACCAAAGAGTAAATAAAAGCTAGCAGATTTAATAATATGACATTGATATCATGATGTGAAACTATCACAGGATGAGTCTCCATTACAACTGTGCTCAGTAAGGAGCTGTGAATCTCCAAAATGTTGATGATAATTTAGCTCTCATTGTGTTGTGAAGCAATCTATTCTCAGAAGAGAAACACAAAGAGTGCCTGTTATAATCTTCGTAACAGTACAGCAGGTGCAGCTCCGAAGCTCTACACCTGAGGTCTCCTTGAGCGCCATGTAGCACATTTATTTAACATTTATCATATTATGTTTTTAGAATCCCCATAGGGTGTAGAATATAGTGTTTTATGAAACAGACCTTCATGAGGTGCTTTGCAAACTTGCCGTAGCGTTTCCAGAACTTGTTGAACGTGAAGTGCATGCTGCTGTTGTGGACAAGTTCCCTGGGGATCGCCAGCGGGTCTCTTTGGGGAACGCCGTCCTGCAGCATGCTTTCACTTAGGACTATCATGATGCGCTTCCAGTTACTGCACGCTACCTAAGAGAGGGGGGGCAGGAATCAAAGCATCAGTTATTACAGTGATATAGAGCAAATCTAGATCGTATTCTTTGTAACATATTTCACAGTGATTAAGCACTTGTTGACAAATTCAAAGAAAACATGACTTTGTGTGTGTGTGTGTGTGTGTCTTTGTGTTTTTGCCTAAGCATACATTTGGGGACGTAACTCAGAAAAAGAACAATCTATAGGGGACGCCGGTGAAGGTGTGTCTTTAGGATATGAATTTAAGTTTTGCTATGAGGTAAAGTATGTCCCAAGAAATGACCTATCGGTAAGTAAACTTGTGTGTTGTGTGCGTGTGTCTGCGTGTGTGTGTTCATGTATTAGTCCTATTAGAGGCTTTAACATAAATATGACATAAAATATGCCAGACTTGGACCATAATTCAACAAAATTCAACAACAACAAGGAAGTAAAAAAGGATGGAGGTGTTTGCGTACCTTGGGAACATAGCAGTAGATAATACCATGCCTATCGTCCACTATAAGATGATCCAGCTCCTTGTTGGGGATATCATCAAATGAACGGTTTTTGCCAGGAAACGCCATGCTGTCATTTGCACACATCTCCTGGAGTAACCTCCGCCGCTGCTCCTGTGATAAAGTAAAGATCGACTTTGTAAGTATCAGCTTAAAATTATTCAGAGAAATGCTCATGGGATACATTATATCATTAAAAAGTCTCTGCTCTACAATTTAAACACAGAATAATCAATAGTTCCTGACTTAAAAGGCCCTCTAAACCCGTACTGGATATTTACGGGCATGGACATTTTATAGACATTGATTATAAGACCTCTGCTAATGATGGAACCAGGAGGAACTCTCCTGGAATTAAAAAAAGGTCACCAACCTGCACAAACCAATAATAATGTAATAGGTGTAAAATCTCCTGGTCACACAGGTGCAAACAAATCAATAAGAGGCTCAGTGAGACTCAGCGAAACTACCAACTCGAACAGTTCACACGTCCACATGGACCAGAGAGGGAGTCATATTGGACAAAGTAAGTGAGAACAACTGTGTGGGTGGTCTTTAAAAAAAAAAGAAGCTTTAGACTGTATTTAATTTTAGAAAAGTTCCTCATCTTGTGTTTTCTTCTATTTCCTAAAGTATCGATATTGTTTTGACATACTTTTAGAAATAAATCATAAATCTATCATTATTTATTCATGTTCTGCCCTGTTGAATAAACGTAGAGCTGTGACAAGAGCTACAGCTGTCAACCAATCTGCATCCATGTCAATATTACCTCTGTAACAAAAAGAGCAAACATGGTACTAATGACATTTATGATCTCGCTTATATTCACGATTTAAGCTAAACCAGCGAGTCAGCATGCAGCTCTGAAATGGTTTGAAAAAATAACAGCTTTTATGAATTTGTTATTCACATGTCAAAATGTCTTCTGTGTTAAAGTCATTGATCCAATAAAACAAGCTCAACAGACATTCAATTCTGCTATTACTTTCATAAACAGCAATATAAATAATCATAAGAATATTTAACATGAACCTGTCTTTCACGAAGCTCCGCTGCCAATGGAGTCAGGTGAATCTTCCACTCTCTTCTCGGTATATACCGCTCTTCTGCTTTCTCTGATTGGTTACTTGAGTCCGGCGGGGCGGGGTCTGTGGGCTCACCAGTTCCTGGCTCTAAGAACTGGTTCACGAAGGCATCAATGTCGGACAGGAAGGACGGGGTTCGGGAGGTTTGAGGATGCTGCGGGGGAGGGGCGTGCAGGATTTTGGGACCCGGCGATATGGGAGTGTGCAAATACAGATGTGAGACTCCGACATCATCCCAGTAGATGATGATGAGGAGGATCATGAAGGCAGAGCCCAGGACCACAAAGACGCGGAACATCCTGGATGTTCCCATGGCAACTGTTGTTTGCTACAGGATAACCATTGCAACTGATTTCACAGAGCGTCTCTACAGCGTCGACAAGGTCACCATGGCAACACAGTCAAGGTCCAGGAGCTCTATCTCTCACCATGGTGACGGAAAGATGGCAGCTATAGCACAGTCTGTGTTAGGACGGGCCTTTTCATGGTGCTGGTGCACTGCAGGTGTGAAACTGACCATCCATTGAATTGACTCTCACCTCTGCCTCATTCCTGCAGACAGATAACAGGGAAATAGAAAACCACTGTTAGAATATTTGAATATTAAACAACCACCTGCAGTTCTAAAAAACATATGATGTGCTTGCCTTTCTGTTGTCAAGATGAAAACAATATCTACTTCATTAAAAGTCAGATTATTTCTTTATTTGAAACAAGGTTTAAAGAAACAGATACAAGACAGGAGGAGGGATTCAGCACAGGAAAAAAAAAGCCAGGCATAAAAAATTAAAAAAAACAGGCTAAATGTAAAATAAAATATAAGACTAAAGCCATGGACCAGCGCTGAAGTGTTAACAAGTGGTGCTGAATTCCTTGTACCTTCAAATTACCCCAATTCAAATAAAAGCACTCAGACTCTTTTATCAGAGCACATGACCGAGGTCTTCTTGCTGTCCTGGTTATAAAATAAGCTGCAATTTTTGAGCAAAGCAGGCAAGTCGGAAACTTTAGTGGCTTCGTTTTTATGGACAAGGCATGAACTGAATTTCTTCTTCACCTCTCCCACTAGACTCAACTCCCACTCTCAGCTGTAAAATCACATGTGGTTGTCAAATATCTGCATGCCACAGGGCTCTGCATACCATACAGAACTAACTTTTGCACTGCACAAGTATCCCGCTGTACCAACACTGGGTTTCCTATGGAGTATGGTACAGCATCTGCACACTTAAATACGGAGTGCCTCTGAAGTAATAAAAGCCCCTATGTTAGCAACCTTTGAAAGAGCGCCAGCAGCAAATATTTTACACACCTCACCAAGACACATTTTGCATGTACAGAAACACACTGAAGATTACTGTGCTCATGCAATGCACCCCAAAAAAAAAAAAGCATTCTGGAGAGCTGCAGAAACACAGCATGAAGAAGACAAGTAAAAAGTATGTGCTGCCAGTGGCTTATCTACATCACAATTCATCTTGAACTCCACTCCATCTCTAGTCCTTTGTATCATTTCTGGACTAATTTAAAGTCACACCGCATCTCTTATCCGTTCCAAAAATCTTCTACATTTGAGCTCTTATGCAACAGTCGTCATATTATTTCCTCTTTCCTGAAGCTTAGAGGGGACCATTGACATGGAAAATCCTCGTTCCCCTCTCCAGAGGCTGCAGACAACTACACTCCTCTCGCTCTCACACAAATGACTTTCTGCTGCTCTATAATGTACATCATATCAGACATCAGCTGCAGATTATACTAACACCTTCTGTCAGCGGTGGGTTAAGGAGTGATAATTTATGTAATTGCTCTAGAGAAGACATTGTAGGCTCCTCTATACTCCTAGTTCACCACAAATCATATATTATACATTTCACATTTACCAGTTTAGTATTTATTTAAGAGATAAGAAGTTAGCTCTTCTTATCTCCTGCTCAACCAACTGCAATATTAAAATGCAACTAACAAATTAGTGTTGACAATATAACATATGATGTTTGGTCGACTTATTGTCTGCTCCAGTGTAATTGACGTCACAGTTTAGTCTAGGTGGGTTCAACGTGACACGACCCTGATAATGATAATGTCTTTTAGGATATATGCGAGTTCTGCAGATGTGATCGAGCAAGACACGAGTACAGAAGTGTGATGTTGAGTCATGTCTCCTCGAGTAGTCATCTGATGTATAAACTTTCATCAGCGTAAGCCATCTGTCTATCATTTGTGTGGAGTCAATTTGCAATTTCTTCAACAGTTACATCTCTAATCATGAAGTACACAGTATTACATATAGTCTGAACGATTTGTAGCCAAATCCTTATGAGGCCTGTTAGGAATCTGCAGAGCTATTCTTCAGCATAGCAGAGTTACTATACTCCGAGCACTTCCTGCAGCCGATGTCACAGACTAACACTTTTTCCACACTCTGGTTTCTTTTCTTTTTTTTTTATTACGCTTAAACAAGTTTTCTATTTATTTACTTAAATTGAATGGGAAATGCCTGAAATACAGCCTAAAGTAAGGGGTCAGGCATCAGTCAGCACAACTGACCATGCATGCATCAATCTCACCAATAGTGTAAGCTATAAGCAGAAAAAAAGAAAACCATTTTTTTCTTCTGCGCACCAGAGAAGTCAAGAAGATATTGAGTTATCGGATAAGGAAGGAAAAAGTGGCAACATTTTATTAAATGTTTTCAGCTATTATTTTATCTATGTGAAAACTCCCTCCACCACTTTGCACAGTTGTTATGAACAGAATCCTGAAGCATTTCATTTTTTTTCCTCCACGGTTCACTCATCTTTTCCTGTTGACATAATGTAGGCTTCTTGACCAGGCTAGTGTCAAGATGTCACACGGTAGGCTAATTCACACAGTATGAAATGCGAATCATGAGCCACGGTGAATTATTTGTAAGTTGCTCCTTAAAACTAGTCCACGTTGCCGGTATAAAGCTAAAAAAAATTTAAAAAAAAACCGGATGACTGATAAATCACACCGTCCTGTCCGCAGCAGCCGCCAGCGGATGCCAGACCGGGGAACACACACAATGTAGCCTTTGACTGGGAGCAGCGCCGCGGGAACGGGCTGTTCCTCACCCCGGAGAAGGCTTTCTGCTCGTGGCTTCAGGTTCAGCAAGGTGTCGCGTACAAACCGTGAGTCAAATTTTCCTATGAGACAATGAGCAAAGCAACGAGAACAACAAGCTTCCGCTCAGCCTGTGGTGGGTTTTTTTTTTTTTTTAATCAATGCACGCTGTCAGTCACTGTGCATGTAGCAGAGTAAAGGTGTCAAAGTAGTGCTCAGCATTTTAGTAAAGAGGTGCATACAGAAAACAACGGTTTTTGTTTTAAATGTTAAGTTTTGGGTTTTTTTAATTACGGAATACGAGTCTAAAAAAAAACAAAAACAACAAACGCTTACCGCTTTTCCTGCCCGCGAGCTCTCAGCGCCGCGTCAGCTGAGTCTGTGTGATGAGAGAGAGAGAGAGAGAGAGAGAGAGAGCAAGAGAGAGAGAGAGAGAGAGAGAGAGAGAGAGAGAGAGAGAGAGAGAGAGAGACCCCCGGTTTTTTCTTCTTCTTGGAGATGGAGCATAAAGCCACGCAAAACACCGCGAGAGTTCGCAGATGATGGTTCTGCAGAGTGAGCTCATGAGGGGAAAATTCACTTTCTGGGTCAGCTCCAGCATAACATGTCTCCACTCTGGGATGATTTATGTAGACAGCTTCCTCCCACACCCCCCCCCCCCCCACAACCCCCCCCCCCTCCAAACTACCCCGCCCTCTTCTCCCATAGAAGCAACGTGCTGGAAATAACCTGCTGTACCTGCAAAAACAAATGTCATCTCTACTGGAACAAAAATATCAAGAAGAATCACAGTGAGGAACTGTGCCCGTGAGGACCTGTGTCTATTTCTGTTGCCTCGGGCTGATGTGCTCAAAATCCTGTTATTTGTGAACTCTTTTCATCCTGTGACATCAAACATAGCAAGGAGCCCCTACAGAGCAGCTGATTCGCTTTGCAACCACAGTTTGCAACACGTCCCCAGACACACACACACACACAACACAAGCATCTGCTTCCAATCAGCTTCACACTTTTCACCCCGACCCTGGATTTCATTCTGAGCAACGTGTTTTCATGAATTTCCTTGATCTAGCCTATCTTTATACAGCGGAGGCAGATTCTGTGAACACATTGAAACAAGCATTAACTCACCAATGTAGGCCTAAAAAAAAACAAAAGAAGTCCCAAGAGAAGGGAAATAAAGTGCAAATGAGAGTATTTGAGGTTAACCTTAACTGCCCTCCAAAACACTGAGGGGAATATTGTGTGGCCTATATGTATGGCTACTTACTAAAGGCCTTCATTTTTAGTTTTTCTTGTAGATTATTTGATAAAAAACATTATTTTTCTTTATATATTGCCTTTGTATTACACTATACTGGCTGCTGAAATGCAGGTTTAATGACTACAGTTTGGCTGTCGCTGTGTTTTGTTTCACAAGTATACACATTTTTCATTTAGCATACGGCTGACATGATTATTCTGGGAATATTGCATATTGCTTGGTGTACGTCTTTCCTCCCAGATGGAGAGATTATCCTGCAGCCTTATGAAAGAGGTCTAAATCCCCCTCTGGCCTGCCCATATTTGTCAAATTGAACCTTCTGGTGGTGTTAACACAGATTTATAAGCTGTAATCAACATTGACCAAAGCCCAATGCGAGTTTACAGATTTAGATATGCAGAGTAAATTTGGAAAAACATGTCTCTACACAAGTCTGTTTCTCATACTTGAAGGGGTTTTGCTCAGCAGAGTTAATCAGTTAACTGAAAATCAGTGCTGCAGTGCTCTTTGTACTTATAAATCCATGAATATTTATGTCAAGTCTTAGTCATTTCTTCAACAGCTATCTTTAAAAGTGAAGTATATTTCAATATGGCCTGTTGTCAAGTGATTTCACTATCCACCAGCCCATAGCAATTTGTCAGATTCCCTAGATTTACATCATTATAACAGCGTTAGAGTTTCTGACCCCGAGCATGACACATTCTACAATTCTACAATTCACTTAGCAGATGCTTTTATCCAAAGCGACGTACATCAGAGAGTAAGAACAACACAAGCAAGGATCTAGAAAAAAGGGAACAATGTCAATAAGAGCAAACGATCAGCTTTGAGTCTGATTGGACACACAGGTGCTGACAGGAAGTGACCAGAGGCAAAGCACAACATTGACGGCAGTTCTTGAGCTCTAATCAGTATAGAAACCGTCTTATCATCATTAAAGTCATCAAACAAAAACAATCGTCACAACCATCATCATCATCATCATCAATGATGTGGAGACCATCATCATTAAGTTAGTAGGTATTCATGAAAGAGCTGGGTCTTCAGCTTTTTCTTGAAGGTGCAGAGGGACTCTGCAGATCAAATGGAGTTTGGAAGTTCATTCCACCACCGGGGGGCGACAGAGGAGAAGAGTCTAGTCAGAGACTTAGGACCCTGTTGTGAAGGTTGGATCAGACGCCTTTCATTGGCAGAGCGTATGAGTAAAATGAATACTGTGTGGCTGTGGTGAATCAGCCACTTACAATCCAAATTGCTATTTGGAGCCTGTCATTACATCCAATATAATGAACAGTGAACACCACTAGACTGACAGCAGACAACAACTCAAACCTACGTCAATGTTTCTGAATTAAGAAACTTGGACAGACACAAGGGATGAAGATATTACATTGTAGAAATAACTCAAAAACATTCCACCACAGAACTGTGTTTACTCTTTAGGCCTATACCTTCCAACCTTTTCTTTCTTCCTTATGAACTGCTTCAATGCTTCTCTGTAAAGACTTGAGGGTCACCAGTTCAAGTCCCGGTACGGACCAAAGAAGTGTGGAAGTTGGTCTGGTTGCTGGAGAGGTGCCCAGTCACTTTCAGAGAATTGCCGAGGTGCACCCAACAGCCCTGACACGCTCCCCTTTGTAGCAGCCCCACTCTGACATCTCTCCATTAATGCATGTCCATAGGTCTGGTTTGTGCATGTGTGTACTTTGTGCGTATGTGTGTGAGTAGCATGTCACTTAATAACAGCGTTTAAAACTTGGTTTCCCCTCAGGGTTTAATAAGGTATAACAAATTAAGAAAAAAATGTATTTTTTCTTGTATTTGAAAAGCTGTCCTGCTGGCTAAAATAGACACTAATGTGTTTTCAAACACTCAATCAAATATACATTATCATTACCTAGATCCACTGAATAATACAATAAAGGAAAAGTCATTAGTTAATAAAATATTGAAATAGTTGGATGGACTTGAGTCTCCACAGTTTGAACACTAGGTGACAGTATAATATAGATGAACGCTGTCCAGAATGAAAGTGAAAGTACAGCTCAGAGGAGTGAATCATTTTTTTCCAAATGTTACTCTTTTTTTAAATTTTTTTAAATGTCTCGTGTTACATTCTCTTAATGAAAAGAAAGCCACACATTTTTAATATATAAGTTTTAATGGGGGCTCAGATACACCTTTACGTTTCATGTACAAATTGTTGTGTGAGTCTACAGGAGGTCCTGCTCCACCCACACCGTCTTCTTCTGCTCCTCAAGTATTCTGTCTTTGATGATCTTGATGAGGTCGTCCGTCCCCGTCCAGGCCTCAGGCTCCAGGCTGGCGTAGAGGCAGGGAATGCCCTCAAGCTCCTTCTCCTTTGCTCTACACGATCGCACGAACTCGTCCTCCGACTCCACACGCATAGGCAGCTTTCTGTGTGGACAGGAAACAGGAAGGAAGCAGGTGATTGTGGCGGCGTTCATAACCCTGATGAGATCTTGTAGAGACTTTGCAGCAGAGGTTTTTGTGCTTTGTTGTTATTCTCAGAAAGATAACACTCACTGTCAAGGGTTCAAAGACGCACTGTCTGTTTATAGGTACCAAAAAATATGTCATGCCTCAGATGTTTCACCCACAGGAGATAATCAATACCAATACACTCATTATTTCCAACACATCAGACATTTTGAATTCATGAGAAGGTTCCGAAGAATACCTATGTAACAAGGAAAAGCTCTTCTTAGTTACTCCAACTACTACTACTGTGTAATTTTAAATTATTGTATTTTATTTTTTTATTTAAATGATGTAAATATGTTTGATTTGATTTTAACTTCTATTTTTATTTTTAATACGTATATTCCCATCCCCTGTTTTCTGGAGCTGCTGTAATGCACAAATTTCCCCCACTGGGGGATCAATAAAGTTTATCTTTATCTTCTTTATCTTTATCTTTATCTTTAACTATTGTTAAACGTTTCGTCAGCAGGCTGCAGAAATTCCTTACAAATGCTTAGTTTTAAAAAGACAAACTCTGTAACTGTTCTCGTGCAACTTGTCTTAAAATGAAACTTTCCATGCAAAACTTTGACGTGTGTCTGCATTTGGAAAAAGGTTTGAGGTTTGCAGCTGTGGGTAAAGTGTGTGACAATGGGTGAGACCCACCGTAACTTCTTGACATTCTTCTCACAGATCTTGATGTAGATGATTATCGGGTAGATTTCTCTCCGCAGAAGGTCTTTCACACAGCTCAGCTCAGCCTCCAGCAGGCAGTGTTTGCCCTGGCGATGGATTGAAATACAGATCTTTAATGTGTACTGGGGACTTAATGCACAAAAAAAAACACACAATAGCTGAGTGCAACGCTCACGTAAAAGGATGGATGCAAAAACAAAGGAACAATCAAGTCTGAAATCACATCTTTTATTTCTATCTGTTAGTTAAAGACAATCTTTGAATCGCACAAAAATACCCCAAAACTTTAAAAAGAGATAGTTTCAAAATATGGGAAATAAGTAGATTCAGGTTAGCTTTCATAGCATAATGACTGAAAACAGGTCAAATAGCTATACATTTCCCACATTATGCTTTAACTGTATGCCTGTGACTTCAAAAAGAAATACATGTTTCTTTTTGGAAATATGTCTTTTGTATTTTGTCAAATGAGTAGATTGATGCCACTCTCATATGTCTGTTTGAGAAAATAGGCATAGATATGTGTCGACAACTTATTATTACATGTATAATTGTGTAAAAAAAAAAGCACATTTTCTTTTTTTTAGTTAAAGGAATAGATTTATGCTCCTCTCTTTTCTGTATACTGCATTGTAAGCTTAGTTAGAAGCCAGTTGACTCAGTCCAGCATAAAGTCAGGAAACTGTGAAACACATTGATCAAAGGAACGATACAAACCATTTGACGTTGGAGAAAAAAGAATAAGAGCATAAAAACATGTCACCCAAATGTCCCCCAATACTGTGAAGACATAACAGTAGTATATTCAATTTAAGTACAAAGGCTGCTGAATGTTTTAAAAGCTTAAAAATAAGCCGACAAATGCTTCACACACACACACACACACACACATGCACACACGTGTCAACCTCTAGCCTACCTTAGCAGCGACAGCTTCTATGTTTTCTCGGGTGATGCATTCAAATGTTGCATGTTTCTCTTTGTAG